ATGATCTGTGATATGTATATATTGAACTTAATTGCGTTAGCATTTATATTTTTTGGTGCAGACATATTTCATTTGGTTTCCATATAATATTAACTACAAAGAACTAACAAATAATCAATAGTTCTTATGGTTATGTTTAGGCAGATCAAAGCCCTTGGTTGAAGTAAGGGATACAGAAAGACGGTGGTCATGGTTAAATATTTAAAAAGTCAACACTGACTTAAAGCTCAAAAGGGGATATTGACATTAAATATTTCAATATCCCTTCAATATATTTCTTAACTTTAAACCAAGTCCTAAGAGTCTTTTAAAAGCATTCTTAAAGGCGTAAGCATAAAACAAGTATTGCGTCGACTGTCCTTGCTTAGATGTAGTTGTGCGTGCCAGTGAAAGGTTTGTAAAACGTTTCATTAACAGCAACTTTATTGCAAGCCCTCTTTAGCGCCCGGCTTTGTATTCATGCTTTAAGTCACACATAAAGGACTACGCATCCTTTGAGTGAGCAGGCACAAAGTACTTTTGGCCTCGTCCCACATTTTGATTGTCATGTTTGATTGGTTGCCTACTCAGTCAAAATGTTGTCTGAGGCAGATTTCTGCCTGGAACGAGGGAGCATAAGAGTAGAGGGAGAGAGAGAGAGAGAGAGAGAGAGAGAGAGAGAGAGAGAGAGCAGCCATTTTCGTGAGGGCTCACTTTCCCCCACAGAGATTTTGAGATGTGTGGCTTGGCTGCGATCCAATGGCTCAGCAGTGTATTGAACTCACTGGTTTGAGATTGGTCAGATTAGCTGAAGCCTGTCATTCAAGGGTTGTCAAAACTGTACATTTGAAAAAAATCAATAATGATTATAAACAATGACTTTGCACCTTATGCAGACAAATAGTTTGGTGCTAAGGGACAAACAAAGTTGAACAAAAAGCCTATTCATTTATTTTTAGCCATGCCTGGAGTGATTCATTTTTTAATCTGGAGCCTCTTACAGTCAGTCGGGCACTAATTGTCTATCAGACCGATTACCCTGATAGACATTGAATCAAATGTCTATAAGCTTTACCTTGCTATTAACCAAGTCGACATTATCTGCCCGACATTTTCCAAAAATGCACATTTGCACTGTCTGCCTGCATGTAGTCATTTCAAACTTTTCCTTGCCTGAGGCAGCAGTGACAGACTTGCCACCTTGAAATAGTCTGTCTCACCTTGTCATTCATCACATTAAATCTCTAATTTAGTTCCCTGAATTTGCTTTTTCACTCCATCTTTCTCTGTGTCTTGACTTTTTCTTTCCCATAACCCTGTGTGTATTTGAAAGAGAGTCTGCAAACAGAGGCAAACAACTTGTTAGAAGATACTGTATGTATCATGTAAATCAAGTGTCAGCGCTTGTGCACACTGAGCTAAATTGAGTAGAAGGGACTCTCAAGAATTGAGTTACACCACTATTAATCCAGTTAGAACTTTCCAGATCAGTGATTTTGTTCATTAACATCCTTCACGGCCTCAAGTCTATTAGTTACAACATGTCAAATGGAGTCATTTAAAACCAGCTCTGGAGTCACCTTCTAATGAATCAACTAACCAGTGCTCTGAATTATTCCTAAGTAGGCCTAACACTAAACAGACACAAAGGAGGTGGGAAACGAATACCGGACCACAGTGTTAGTAAAACCACACACACACACAGCCACACACACACACACACACACACACACACACACACACTTTTACATGCACACATATCATCATCAACAAAGCCAACAATCAACGATCAGTCAATTCCAACTTCTATCACCGGATGTTATTCTCTTTTTCTTTATTCTTTTGTGACGTAAAGACATTGGTGGTGTTGGAATACTTGTTTCCATGACAACAAATCTTGTCAAACACAGTAAAGAAAATATGATTCCAATCATCAGGGCGGCGTTGTGAGGACTTGTGTAATACCCAGTGGTGCTGCCTTCCTCCTCCCCCACACCGTTAACCGATTTACTGGCAAGCAAAATACCTGACAGATTGGCACCACTCTTTCCATCCACCTGCCCTTACCGGCCTCCATCCCTTCCTACCACTATACCCTACATATCTCTAATATCCTTAAAGGCCATATTTCTCTTCCCACACATGTATTTGGGTTACCTAGTTGTTTCCCATAACAGATATTTCCTTATACATCTTCCTTCACTCCATCTCATCTCCGTAGCTCTCAGTACGGAAGCAATAAGTGTGAGGTGTCATGCCTTTGTGCTCCAGCACCTGCTAAGGCCATAAGCACACATGATTGCTGGCAAAATCACTTTGCACTGGCTGTTCTCCAATGGAGAATGTTCTGGCACCCCACCTCATAAGCAGTGACACCTTGGTGTTAGAGTTACACTCCACTGGAAATCTCAAGACACTGCTCTCATTCCCAAAATGATTTAAACTGTGACACCAAGCTGGTGCTTCCAATCCAATTTCAGCTTCATGTGATGCACAGTATGTGTGGATTTGACAACTTACATTTGCAGGCAACTCATTTGCAGCAGTAATTTAGGTAAACCCGCAGCATTTAGTTCCCTAGTTTTTATAGCTTAAGCCTCAGACTTTTGAAATTGCAGTTCACACTTCATCTCATTCTTTAAGCATTCACTCTTTAATTATTATAACCAACACCACAGTTCTTCCCTTATGTCAACCAAGTGCAAATACGTGTCCATTGCTAGAGCAGATACAATATGGAAAACAGTGTTTTGTTTTGTATTCCTTGAGGGAAAACAAATGTGGTCACTGTGAACATTTATAAATGTTGTGTGACATGTTCCTTAAAAATAAAACGTATGTTTCCCCAAAATGTTATTTAGCTAATACTAATAAAAATATTCTGTGTTAAAATGGAGGGTAGGCAAATCCGGTATGAATATGTGTCTAAGCTACATTTAATATTTTCATATCTCCTGCTGCCATGCATTCCCATAACATATCAACAAACCATTCAATGCCCTGCTAAGCAGTCGGTGCAGTGCAGAACACGGTCATGGGTAATTTTTTATGACATCACGTAACTGTATCAACACACTCACTGTGGCATAGAAATGTTATACCTCACATCCGAGTTGTGCTTATGCAAATACAAATATACCTTGTGTGGTGATGAGGCAGGTGTTATTCTTGATAAGCTCAGACAATAAATTACATCCGAACAGATAATTCTGACCTACGTAATATATTACTTATTATTGTTAGTCCCCTTTGGAGCCATAATGAAGACCAGAAATGTGTACCAGCTTTACCTTATCCAGTTAATCCATTAGAGTTGTCTTATTCAGTTATGGCTAATGACCAATCATTTGTTTGGCTCTGACTAATGAGAACACAACAATCACCATTTATGCTTCATGTCACTGCACCAACTCGCCAAAATGATGTGAAAAGAGAGTGGGAGGATGAGGAGTCTGTGATTCACCACTTAGCACTTACATCATAACCGAGGAGGAAGAAGAATACATTTTTTCATTCACGTATGTCATAATGAAGATTCTGAACTTAATAAAACTTTTTTTTTTCTGTGACTGTCTTTTTAGATTTGTAAGTAATAATTGTACAGAATTATTAAACGGCATGAAAATGACAAAGGCAGCTTAAAAACAACTCGTATTAAGTTAAGAACCAATTAACAGTATTAAGCAGCTTTATTAGAGGTCTTATATTTTTATTTAATTTATTTTTTTTAACTCAATATGAACTACAGTAGAGGCTGGAGATTTGCTGCATGACTTAATGGTACATGTATTAGTCACCATTACACACCATTACCAGTACAGTGAAAGAAGTCTTAAACGTCATAACAATATATACCAAACATAAGAAAACGTCCACTGGTGGGAGATAGATGCTAGCACTGACATAAAATGCTTAGGCGTATACTTGCATAGGCATCCAAAGTAATATTTGCTCAGCAATTTCCAAAAAAAAAGATGAGATTATCTTATTTTGAAATTTGAAATGAAACTTACAAGGAATAGATCATTTAAACATGGAAGTGTGTTTGTGGCGGTATCATGTACATGCATGTTTTTACATGAACACCTCTCTCCACATGTGTGGGAGGATCCTCTCTGCATATTTTATAATTCCTGTACAAGCCAGCTGTTCCTCAGCTCCCTTCATGGTAGCCCAGGCTGACTTGGTGGATTGTTTGCTGCTTGGGCTGATGTTATTTGGTGTGTAAACATCTGCAGTAGTCTGTTCTGCGATGAGCACCGCATCGTTAGACATGCTCTGACCCAGTTCCTCTCCCTCTCTGGACTGTGTGTCTCATCTCAGCTTTCAGTGGCTGATGTCGTAGCTTAGCGATTTGGTTTTCCAGGGTTGACATGCGCTCCTTAATATGAGGCACGTTGGCTATAAACATGCATCAACTGTATTAATTTATGCTTTTTTTTTGCTTCGTAACCGCTTTAGCATTGGTGTACAGGTCACATTTAGAAAGACAGCCTATTGTGCCTGGTGTTAGTCAGCAGCAGTATCTCTGAGGCCAACTGCATCTTCCAGCTGCATCTGTGGAAATCTCAACCTCTCGGAGTCTATTAAAAGCACGAGCTGCAAGACTGTATCAGCTGCTCACATAGATTAATGTGAATGAACTGCTTGCTCATTTGACTTTAGAAAAAAAAAAAAAGACTTGCTCTGCAAAATCCCTATATGATGCTACCGTTCATTGCTCCATTTTAGCAAATATAGACCATCTATACTGTAGAATTCCGACACAACATTGGTTTAGATTAACAATAAATTCACAATAATGCCACAACACATTTGCTCTGGAAATGTCTTATTTATAAAATGAATGAAGATGGTTGTTTCTAGTTACTTATTGTATCGTGTTTAATTCCTCCTAATTAATATACTTTATAAAACCTATACATATTTTATTTTCATACATTTATGGTAGACAAATGAGTCATCATAGCAACTGAATTTTCTGAGATTTCACATATCTGTCTTGTCTTGTCTCCCTGCAGGAGTGACCACTGTCCTGACCATGACCACACTCAGTATCAGTGCCAGGAACTCTCTCCCTAAAGTGGCCTATGCCACAGCTATGGACTGGTTCATCGCAGTCTGCTATGCCTTCGTCTTCTCGGCCCTCATTGAGTTTGCCACAGTCAACTACTTCACCAAGAGGGGTTACGCCTGGGATGGAAAAAGTGTTGTGCCAGAGAAGGTATTTGAAGCTTTTTTTTTTCAATATCATGTATACTCCTAAGGGATCTGCATAGAAATGAATAGCGATAATAGACAGAGGTTTTGACAGACTGGTTAGGCATTTATTCTGTTATTGTGTCTGCCCTTGTTTTAACCAAAACAAAAAGAAATTCATGTATCTATGGAAGGAAAGACACAGTTAGCACTTAACTGTTGAGGGAGCTGGGCCAGGCAGGGAACATTTAGATGTTGTCCCCAGCTCATCTCAACTTGCAATTTGAGTAACATGACATGAACATTAATAGTTTAATGTTCATCTCGGGCTTTCTGCTACGCCTGTCTCAATGCCGCAGTTAGCAGCACCATGCTCTGTAATCTCATGCTGTTTTTTAAAATATATATATATTTAAAGAGCCCAAAATTATTTTGTTAGATTTATTGCTTCTGCTTTGAAATATGTTGATGTGAGGAAGTGATATTTCTGAATTTAATATCCATATTTCAACTGAATGTTCACCAAGCTGCTAAATGGCATATTGCTGAATGGCATATTCACGTCAATGATAGTGCAAAACAATACATCTTTAAAGAACCTGAACTTTATTCATTTTACTTTCCCCAATGCTTTCCCCAACACACGCAATCAGCAAAAGAAGAAGAAGGAGTCCCTCCTCAAGAAGAACAACACTACAGCCTACCCAGCTGCAACTGCTACAGCCTTCGCCCCCAATATTGCCAGGGACCCTGGATTGGCCACTATTGCCAAAAGCGCCCCAGCACCCCCAACTGAGCCTAAGGAGGAGCCAAAGCCCAAGCCTCCAGAGGCCAAGAAGACCTTTAACAGTGTGAGCAAGATAGACAGGATTGCCAGAATAGCCTTCCCGCTGCTCTTTGGAACCTTTAACCTGGTCTACTGGGCAACCTACTTGAATAAGAAGCCCAAATTGCAGGGGATGGATCCACACTAATCCATGTTTCATTCCTTTAAAATTATACCTGTCTATTTTTTTTTTTTCATTTCCTTTCTTATTCCTCCTAAAACAGGTGTTTCTTTTTATTTTCAGACAAACATGGTGTCCATGCTGGTTTGAACTCCCAGTTGTTGCATTGCTTCTATGTTTACCTAAAGTTTGAAGATTTTGAAAAAAAAAAATAGAGAAAAAAAGAAAGATAGCTATACAGACTTTTGAAAGGATGTTGTTCAGGTCTCGGGTGATGCTACTAAGAAAATGCTACTATAAATATATAGCCAAGAGAATGCTATTCTACAACTCCACATAGCCCAAACCTGTTCATGGGCTTTTATTTGTTTTCTTATTTTTATTTTGTTTCTATTTTAATTAAACATGGAATCACAGACACGGTAAAGGGCACTTGTGTATATGCATGGGAAGGGCATCTTCTTATTTGTTTATTTATTCAAAATACAGATCCACACTGACTGCACATAGCTTAGTTTATTTGATATCAGCAGCATCAATGCTATGCTCATTCTTTGTCAAGTTTTAAATTCTTTGTAGATGTTTTACGAGATTAATTATGTCATTCTTGAAAATACTTTAGGGTTTCTGCAATAGCAATAAAACATGTCTCACACCATTTATTTAGAGATAAAAAAAATAAAAAAATGAAACCATATCTGTGCTCAGCATTTAAAATATTATTATTTTTCTTTCACAGCATTGTATATATTATCAAGAGTTAGAGATGTCAATATTATGTTTAAGCTTTGCAAAGTGTAACTAAAGGGTATGTTTATTGAATACATGGAGAAGATAACCTTTTTATTTAATTTGGTTTTGTTTTGGTTGATGATACTTTCTACCAAAAGAGTATATACTGGTCTAATTCACGCTTAAGTGACTGTTCGCGTTCCATTCAAAGCTGCTTTCACACTGAAGTAAAATATTATTCAACTGTGTTTGTGTACACACTGACGGCAACAACAGCAACAACATTCAACAGTGTAAGATTGGTTAGTTATGAGTAAGAATGTAAACATCATCTGGAATGCTGGAGTGCATTTGACATTTAGAATTAAATCACACATTATTTACTTCTTTTGTTTCTTCTATTTATGGAGGGACCAAAACGCCATTTATAGCAAAGTGCAGTAGGCATCGCTTAAAGATGGGCGGGGCACATTGAGAAGGAGGAGAAGTGCCTTTTTTAATTTTCAGAGTTGAAGCTGTGATGGCTACTGCTTTGTTGATTGATGGCACATCTGTATTTTCCATCCCACTGTGCCCCCTGACCCTGTTTAGTCCCCATCTCCTTTCTGTTGAAAATTGAGACACAACACTCAGAAAGTACCAGCTACACTGCCTTCAGTATCACATGCCCGTTCGGACTCATTTGTTGCTGCTTGTTGGTGAGCAACAGCGAGAGACAGGGACAGAGACAGAAAGAGACAAAGAGAGAAAGGAAACGGTGAGTTGAAGTGGCACTGTAGTCTTGCTTTAGCCGGCGTCTTGTAGTTTCACGATAGCGACGGAGATGAATATATTTTTGTAGCATGATGTCAATCCCTCTTCCGAAAAAAACCCAACAGCAACTAACGCAAATGTGAAAAAAAAATGCTTTTGTTTTGTCTTGAACATTGCTTGCTCTTTTTTTCTTTTAACTTATTAAAAAAAAAAACAATTTAAGGACATGCTTCTTCTCTCATGTGGCACGTTTAGGTTTCGGAACAGTCCATTTTAAATTATGTTAATGTAGCAATATTAATTAGCAAGGGCTTTTCTTAGGACCTGAACCTGACACTCAGTCTGGGGCTGATAACCATTGTAGCTTGACACTGACCCCTTTGTAGTTTCAGCGATATACATGGAAATCTAGGAATTATTTAGATTTGGTCAAAGATAACAGCCATCGCATTGTGTGTCCATCTTGGATTCCGAAGCCTTGGTCTTGTATTGCATCATGGGTGCTGGGTCTGCTTATTTGAATATGTTTTACAGGGCACTGAACAGGTTGAATGACATTTAAGAACCCTGCAGAAATCTCTGAGTGTTAGTGCGCTGGGGTGAATAGATCATGCTATCACCTGAGAAATATGGAAAAAGAGACCGCTGGTTGTTGCTATTGTTATTGTTTGCATTATCATTATGACCAATGCTTAACCTATCCCCTAATGCAAGTCTACTGTTAACAGCCACTTAACCTACAAGCAGAGGGTCAAAGAACTGCAAAGTTCAGGATGAAGGGTTGTATAAAGATATTTGAATTCTAAACTAGTGTATGTATGTTTATTATCATGAAGAAAAAATATATATACATATGTAAAATACATAATGCATACAGTATTTGATTATATTAATGAAGTTATTAGCTAAGATGACAATTAATATTGTTTGTATTATCAACCTATTCTTATGCATTTTGCACATTTAGAAGAACAATAACATTACATTTATGTAGTCAGCTTTGTGCTATGCAAGGGCAGCTTTGAACCACATCATTGACCTTCTCTCCCTGTCCATTGTGTTTTAGATTTACAAGCTATTAGAAAAAAAAGAAATGAAAATAAGCTTAGCTTTGACATCAGTTGCTCACCCACTAGCTTTTTCTTCTTTCAACCATGGCTATACAGGGTGACATCAAAGAAAACAGTGGATTATCTCTTTTGTTTGCGCTTTGGATTTGTCGGTGGTTGAAGGGAAAATGGCTTTTATTGTTGATTGCACTTTTTCTCGGGAGACATGCAATAAAGTGATTGAACTGAAAAAAAACAGGAGCAAAACTGTAACAAGATCAACTTGTTAATAATATTCTGTTCTTTTCTTGAGCTTGTTTGTCATTACAAAAATGGAGGCAGGTGAATATGTTACTTTGCGAAATGGATCGTTTTGTTTATCTTTTGCTTTCCAAAGCTCAATGATATTACAGGGTGCGCAAGAGAGTTTGACTTTGACAGAGTAAGTAAATTTTGTAAACTTTTCAGTTTGGAAAATCTTTGCTAAGCCCCTTTCTTGTACTCCAAGCAGGATCAAACAAATGCTATAAACCATAACACATATTTTTGAGCCAGGTCTGGTTTTGCTACATTTAATGCTCCAGAAAGAGAATGTGAAATGTGAGGCACGGTGCAATCACGAGCTTCCAACTTTTACCTTCACATTCATATGCAGAGCATACATGTAAATATCACATTTGTAGGCCCATCCATCATTTCTTTCATTATGTTTGATGCAAGGTCCATTGCAGTTCTCAGCAGCACTTGCTTTTCAACATTGAGTCTTTGGTTATTCCTAGATACCTACTGGAGTTTTTCTTGTATTTTTATCAAGCAAAATATGTTCTGATTTTCACTGAAATGTAAAAAAAAACAACTAATTTTCTAAAGCACAAAAGTTGATTAGGGTAAGAGAAACTAGAGTGAGACTGTCTACATATGGACATCGACAAACACACGTTCAAAACACACGCAAACACACATAGCCACATACATACACAGGAATGTGTTGATAGTCCAATGATACTGGGTTCTAATGGATGTAGAAATGGTGAACCTTCTGTAAATGTTTTCTTTTGTTTCTTTTGGTTATGATATGGCCCTGTAGAATCTGATTCTCTGCATTAGTCTTTAAATAAAAAGAAAACAACTGAAATTTGTGGCTATACCTCTGTCCTTGTGCTATGGATTACCAGACAAAGACCAAGACACATATATCTCTGTCAGGAAGCATAACATATGACTTTTTGTGCACAGTTTACATGCCAGGTAGTAAAAGTAGGAATGACATAGTTGTCTCATTTTCATAATCACCTTTCTGTTGTCACTTTACACACACTGTATTTAAACTGTAATGTGTGTACATTTCAATAAGAGCATTTACTGTAAACATTTTACTGGATAGATGAAAGAATATTTAAAAAGACAAATGACAGGTTTTGTTAAGCAACATATGGTAAAATAAAAAGATGCATTTACACAAACCAGTGGAAACATTTGGGACAGTCTTGAATGATTCAGGGGTCCCAGAACTCTATAAAATAGATTCAAATTAGCAGCAGATCTGACATGATCTTGTATTCAACCAGCAAATGATGATTAAGAGTAACTGATGAGAATAATGTAAACTGGCCTATTCCAAATTGACACTCCATTTGTTGCATTTTTGTGTCTGGCTCTAGGGATTGTAATGTCAGTCTGTCCACCACTTTGTTCAAGACAGAAAATAGCTAACTAGATGGATCGCTATGAAACTTTGGACAGACCTTTGGCGCATAGAAGTTGAATCCGTCTGACTTTTAACTTGACTTTAACTCGAGCAACACTAGTAGTTCAGTATAGCTGTAAAATATCTAAACATATACCAGATACTTTGACACAAATGTTTGTAAAAACATGCATGGTCCTCATCCCTGTGACTCTTGTGATCCATAGACTTTTCCTTTAGCCCCACTAACAGGTCAAAGATTTCACATAAGCTTGATGATTCCATGAAGTCATTGGACGAAATTTTCGATTTCTTGAATACTTTGGCTTATGACTTGCATAACTAATGAAATTCCCATCAACTGTTTTGTGTGTATTACCAATTCGCAAATTTTAGCATGCTAACATACTAAACTAAGATGGTGAACATGATGAATATTATACTTGCCTAACATCAACATGTTAACATATTTCCTGTTAGCATGTTAGTATTTACCTCAAAGCACCACTGCACAAGTAGAGCCTCACAGAACAGGTAATGTGGCTGTTGTTTTGTTTGAAGTATAATATACTCAACATCAAAGCCCTTGTGTATGATGCTTATACTTATACTTACTAGTAAGTACAATTGTCTTGATACATCACAGTAGTGTATGAGTGTATTTTACTGTAAATCCATCACACTCAAATCAGTCACCTTCTCTTGATTTTTTTTATTATCCTAACTAAATATAATTAAGTACTATATCTCCTTCAAGACATTAAACTGGTACTGGTTCAAAGTTCCAGAGATTAATTTACAGTCTAATAGTGTTGCCAGGGCTCTCTGGGGCCTTTTCCTTTGATATTCTAATGATGAATTTGAATATTTATTTTTTGGTCTTTTTCAAACAAGGCTGCAGGCATGCATTGCTATATTTATTACATCCCTGTTTGCATTACAACTTTTTCATTTTGCAGTTCCTGCCTACCACAAATGTAATACATTTTAAAGAGTTCTACTCAATGCAAAAACATTGATAAAAGCAAAGGTAGAACAACTTTAGGCTATATTATTAGTATTAGTAGTAGTATCATTAGTATTGTTATTATTATAGTTATTGCTTATTTTATTTTATTATATTTCATTATATTTCATTTAATTTCAGTTTATTTTTTTATTTTATTATTTTATTATTTTATTATTTTATTATTTTATTATTTTATTATTTTATTATTTTATTATTATTTTAACAATAATTGACAGTAGATAAGCAATTGTGGATGCAATCAGGGTGATTAGTTATTGACTGATAACTCTTGCCGCCTCTGCTCTCAAGCTTCCACCTCATCTCCATCTTCTCCCACCCTGCCATGACATTTCAGGTGCAAGGGAACGTGTGCTTCTTCCTTAAAAGCATGTGAGCTGCCAAGCCCTGAGACTGTTATGTAATAAAGCTGCTTCTTGCTGGCAGAAGAGCAGCGAGAAGAGGCTTTTTCCTCTTTCTCTCTGCCTGGTTCTCCTCCTCCTCTCTCTCTCTGTGACTGTCCCACTCAGTCTTGGGCACAGGATGAATTGTACTCCAATTGTTTCTGCCTTAAATGCAAATACTGCGTTTTTCTCTTGATCTGTGTTTTTAAGCTCACATTGAAATTTAACAAAAGCATTGTGTGGATGGTTATTGTCACAAGTACAAACACTCCTTTCCCTTTTAAGAAAAGACAGTGCTTCTCCTCGTCTCCTAGTACTTAGAGGTAAATTGAACAGTCTGTCCATGAAGTGTGTTCTTTGCAGGAATGAATGGGAATTCAACCAATGCCACCTTTATGCAGCACTATCACAATGTAGAAATAGCTGTACAAAAAAGGCAAATAAGAAAGATGCTTACCATTGATCATCCTTCTTTACACAGCATAATCCAATTTTTCCTCATGGTAGTTGTTTAAAAAAAAAAAAAACATCAATAATTTACCTCAACAAGTCTTAATTTATTTACCTCAACAAGTCTTATGGGGTCATTATTTGAATGGGATTCTTGAAGGCGGCCATTGTGAAATCCATCCATTGTCAAAAGCTCCTCCTTGAAGCTTGGATGAAATTAAATGGCCAGTACATCACAACAAAATGTTAGGCACTAATGTGAGGTCGTATTATGACACAAAGTGCCAACCTTTTTATGATGACTCAGTGAGACAGGCTGATGAAAGCAGGACGCATCGGCAGTTTTCTCTCCATGTGCTGAAACTTCACAGAGATTCATGTAACAAAGCACAGTAACTCAAGTACTGTACTTAAGTAGAATTTTAAGGTGCTTTACTAGAGCCTTTCATTTTAAGATACGTACTTATACATCAAGTTCAATTTGCTGACAATACTTATATATTTTAACAAGAGTACATTTTTGAATATGCTTTAGGACTTATCATTGTAAAGCATTCATTTTTACACTATGGTATTGCTACTGTGACCTAAAATGGATGTAAATAATTTTTGGTCACTTAGCGGCAGTCAAACAAGATATGAAAACTGCATTTACATATTATCATATTTTTGTGGCGAACATGGCACTACATCCAGCAGAAACAGGGCAAAATTAGCATTGATTTGGAGTCTTGTTTTTGACCAGCCGATGAATATAATCCCTATATTTACTCTCCTATTATGTCTGGCTCTGTAACTTCAACACGCTTCATTACTAGCTAGTTTTTAACTTTTTCTGTCGGCCGTTTGACGATAGGCAAGTAGCATGCAGGGGTTTTATCAAACCCTTTTAACTAAAAACGTCTGGCAGCTGAGGATAGAATTTGAGTTGACGAGAGCCATGAAAGTCAGCCAGAACAATGACGTTTGGGGTCGTATAATCAAAACAATGAGCTGAAAGATGGTAAAACGGAAGTGAAGTTATCACATCTGTGTTTTCTATACAGGATGTTATAACCCAAACTCCAGAACTGTGCTTTGTTCATTTCAACCTCATTGGACGATGACACAGTTTCCCTTAGGGATTCTGCCGCACTGCATGAGATTTACACAAATTACCAAGACACAAAGCAGCCTTCTATAACAACAGTATCAACCTCAAATGTGCTTAGATGCAACTACTACGACAAAGAAGAAGTCCCTCTTGGGGAATGTTACCATTTGGAGCCACAATGTTGCAGAGAACACAGAAAATGACTTGCTAAACTTCGGCCAGGCAAGCTTGTGTAAGCAGAGCAATGCAGATTTAAGCCCACGAGCTGTTCTTTTGCAATAAGGATAATGTTAGTCATATAACACAACATTTGCAGAGCTGCCATAGTGACAGGTTTATCTAAATGAGCTAGACATTAGATCTTGTTAGACGGCTGCTGAATATTGGGCATCGGCTAATGATGGAGGAAGCAGCCAGAGGCAAGACTCGTCCGTCCAGAGGAAAGACTCGGTGATGATAGGGTAGAGAATGGGACACATCCTCTAGGCCATCATGATATCATCAGCATATTGTCTTTGTTTCCTCCCGCAGCACTCATTAGAACACAACTGCTTCTTATGTCTTCTCCCTTCCTATCATTTATATTTAAATGTACTTTCTAGGACTAGAGCGATGCGTATTTGTCTCCACAATTTTGTATTTCAGTTGGGTTTTGTTTCCCTTTCTCCTCGTCTCTCTCATTGTTTTGAAGTTGACGCCCAGGGTCAGCCTGACCACTGAACCATTGATCTCCTATTCAACCATCCCATCCATTCTGACAGCAGTTGATGTTGTGTTGCTCTGCTTTCTAGAAGAAGTGAACTTGTGCCAAGACTGAAATGAGAAACGGCAGACAGAGAGCACAAGAAACTAAAGGTAAACTGAGAGAATAGAAAAAAAGTAGATGGATGGAAAGCGGGTTGTAGGGTGTGAGGGGAGGGTGCGCAAGGGCATGTAGGAAAGGTAAGGGAGAGATACTCATTGGAGAAAACGTCAGAGAAGGTAGCAAGAAAAGGGGGAGCAGAAGACAGACACAATAGAAGGCAAATGATAAGATCAAGGGTAATTACAGAGCAAAGTGAAAGAGAAGAAGGGAATATGGAAGCAAATATAGAAGCATGGAAGGAGGAAAAGAAGGAGAAAAAAATGAGGAGTTGAGAGAAGGGCACAGAAAAGCCCAGAAACAATCGTCGTAGAACAGAGAGCAGAGATAGTGGAGTGTAGAACCACTTTTATAGTATCAAGTATGATGCCACTGTACCACATGAAAGTAAAAAACTCAAAGCAGCTATTGTGAAAATATACTGTAATTGTTGTTGAAGGCTGATTGTATTCCGTGCTAGTCTCTAATCAGCGTTGTCCTTTTGACTTCCCTTGACTTTTTTTAGATGTTTGACTTGCACATCTGTTCCCTTTCAAATCACAAACTACATCCTCCTGATCCATTAATTCTAAATATGTATGATTGACTGTAATAAGACAAGAGCCATCTACAAAATTGCTTTCCCTTTTCATG